GTTCTGCGGCTCGCAGTAGTGCACAATTAATGAGAAGGGTCTGAATCAATATAACCTAATATCATTTTCTCAACTCTCAATTTCTCATCTTTCAAATAGAAGCTCACCGGGATGGCGGGATTGATGCGTGGCTCGCCGGCGGCGCTCGACTGCAGCAGGTAGCTCTCCACTACCCGCTATCGACGACGTCGAACTAAGAGATTAGGAAACGTCACTGCCCGCATCCGGCCTTCTCCGCCCGATTCACTCATATCCTCTGTCCGCACACCCTGCTACGCAATCATCCTCACAATCCCTCAATAAGGCTTACAAAAAAACTTGTAATGAACTCCAACCAGTAGGCTGCATTGTTTGGGTCCTATTTGTACATAGTTTATAAAAAAATAGCCACATTTTTTTTTTTTTGTCTCTTGCTTGGATATGGTTTTTGGTTCATTTGCTGGTGCTCTTATTTTTTTAATTTTATTTTTCTTTTTTTGGGCGGGCTAGCCCGCTTAGCCCACAGCCCGTGGCGGGGGTGGGCCGGGTTGGCATTTTGAAGACCCGCTAGGATGGCGGGCTGGCCCGCCCCACCCCACCAAACGACGGGTTTCAGTGGGCTGCGGGCTGGTCCGCCTCACCAGCCCGTTTTGACATGTCTAGTAGCATCCCTCCACTTTGACCTTGAGGGTCAACAATTTCATACTTGTGCTCAAAACACAATTTCTTAACCACAGTTTTCACAAAATTTCTTGTTCTTAGTTTTAGATAAGAAAATAAACCCTGGTGGTGAGTCCGTAATGACTCTTTGATATGGGAAACCGTAGAGCCACCCACCCCTCTACAGTTCTACACCGCAGCTAGCATTTGTCACTCGGGTGCCATTCAAGGCTGGTAACCCCCACCTTAAATTCTGACACTTTACTTTTCTTCCTATCTTCTGGAACAATGAGTTGCTCAGAGCTTCCAGCATGTTTGGCAATTGACTCCTGTCTTTGCCTCTTGCCACTTATTGTTGGTTTCTCCTTGAAATTGGAAGAATCTTGTCTGAGAAGCCTACCTTCCCTGCTAGCTGATCTTTTTCACCTTTTAGAGATGATTTTCTGAGTACTTGGGAAACTTTGAATGGATTGGGGGATGTGAAGTTGATTAGGTTCTAGCTCTATTGCTTTGGGATTAAGAGTTTCAAAGTTTTCAATCACCATGAGGGAAGTGTCTGGGGTGGGTTCTGGGGAGTTAGGCTTAGCTGGGTTAGAGGATATAAGGGTAGAGTGTCAGTGGGGAGTTGATCCTTTTCAGGTGAGTCCTCTTGAACAGGAATAAGTTGATTATTATCTTCTACATGGTTGGTGGATGTGTGATTGGGGGTGGGCTGACTTGTATAAGGAGGGGTGTGATTATCTGATGGAGGCGAGTTTCTAGAACTATAATTACCCAAATTTGCCCAATTTTGAAAATCAGGGGCTCGCATCCAGTCACCAAATTGTCCTTCCTTTAAGTTTTTATCATTGATGTCGGCTATTCTCTTTAGACTCCCCTTTTCTAAATGGCCAATAAATCCACAGTAATGACAATGATTCACCAGTTTTTCATATTTGAAGCGGAAGGTAAGTGATTGATCATCCAAGCGTATGTGAGCACATATAGGAAGGGCCTCATTTAAGTCAATTTTATTATGTATAATTAAAATGACAGAGTCACTTAAACGCATTATCGGTCTTCTATTATATAATTATTTTATTTATTTCATATAATTGTTTTCGAGTTAAGTTAGTTTTTTTTATATAACTTAAAATATTACGAATAGTTAAAAAGACAAAGTCACTTAAATGAATTATCGGTCTTCTATTGTAAAATAATTTTATTTATATCATATAACTGTTTTGAAGTTAAGTTAGTTTGAATAATTTTGTTTTTTGGAATTAATATTAA